CGGAGCCTGCCTGCCAGGCGCCGGCCGGGACCACCTCGCCGGCGTCCAAGGCCACTCAGGTGGGACTCGGGCCGCAGAGGCGGCCACGCAGACGGAGGCCCAGCCTCCGTCGCAGAGCCCCGGGCGGCAGGTGTCCGGAGCGGGAAAGGGGCCCCGGGCCAAGGGCATCCTAGAAGGAGGGAGGCGGCTGGAGCGCGGGCTCTCTCTTTAAGCCCATTTCTTCTTCGCAAAGCTCCACCCAGCGACTTCAGCCGGGCTTCTCTCGGACCCTGAGCCCTTAGCCTTTCTTGGGCCACCGGGTTAGGTTTAGGGAAGGTTAGGGTCGAAAGAAGAAGCGCACATTCTCCCGGATTGTCATGAATGTGCCCGAAGAGCCCAGTGGGGCCGTGCGTTCTAACAGGGCATATAAGGACTTTTTTAGAGTGTGGCGCAAAGACGCTCTTCCTGCCCTCAGAGCGGGAGGGTGCTGTGGAAAAAATGGGAAACAGACAAGCATGTATTAAGTAAATATTGCCAAGGTGAACCTAAGAGAATTACCGTGTGCCGGTGCAGCCCCTGCGTTGTTGCGTTTAATCCACACAGCAACCCTGTGGGTATCAATCCCGTTCACGATGAGGAAACCGAGACTCAGACGATAAGTAATTGCCCTGGGTCCCACAGTTAATCAATGGCAGGTCTGGCAGGTTCTGACGCCGGCATCCCACGTGGGGAGAGAGACTTTTAAATACACCTGAAGTTAAGCACACAACATCCGAACCGTAGAAGTATAGTGGATTCACCCTGGGATGGAGGACCGTGAGATATTGTTTCTGGGGACTCTGATGCAAATGTAGTTCTACAGGCTTTGAGGGAGAGGAGGGCAAAAGAAGACCCCTGAGGCTCTAGGACCGGATCTGTGGGACTAACAGAAGGCCGGTCCACATCCCAGTATTGTGGCGGGAAGGCAGACTTAAAAAGTCTCCGGGACCTGAGGAAACAAAGCCTGGGGGGAGGGGGACCCGAGCCAGACGAGCCAGGAGAGAGGCAGAAGGACAACGTGCAGCACACACCCCGAAAGCACCAGTGATGAAACCACACAAGTTTCCTCTTCCATTTTGATTGCCAAAGCAAAAATGAGCCACCCGCTCTCTCAGGTGTGAAAAAAGGCTGTTTGTTTTAGAACATTTTGCTTTGAATGAGGAAGAAAAGGGGGACACAAGAAAAAAAAAAAAATTTCCTTTGAAATAAATACATCAACGTCAGTTTTTTTCTCTGTTCATGAAGATTTTTGCCACTCATATAAATTTCCGGCAGCATAACATGTTGAAGAGCATGTTCTCTGGAACCAGATGGCCTGGGTTTGAATTCCAGCTCTGCCGCTCATTAGCTTTGATCCCTGGACAAGTGACAACCTTTTGGTGCCTCAATTTCTGCATCTGGGTGGTTATGAACAGTAAATGAGTTAACATTTGTAAAGTATTTAGATTACTGTTGAACTTGAAGTAGGCACTATGTAAATATTTTTGAATTTAAAAATTAGATTATGGTTTTCAGCGTGAAAAGAAACAAAATTCTGTCCGGCTCCAGGCAAATCCGACTGGAACTGAAGGTTTCCAGTATGAGCAATGAGGTAAAAGTCTCAGATTTCATGGTATGGTTCATATTAAAACCCGTAAAACTCTACTCTCCGTGCGGCCTGCCTGAGTCACTGAATCACAGAGCCACAAATATTTTCTGAGCACTACTGTATTGGATGCCTGGGAGCCAAAGAGGAGCCCAAGGCCTTGAGTCTCGTTGAGAGGACACAAGTGTCACTAGAAGTTTGAGATGGCCTTGTATCCCTCCTGGAAGTGCCCTGGGAATGGCACAGAGAGTGAGTGAGTCCTGTCTGCCTTTAGGAGAGCAAGACATCTCTCTCTGTGGGGTGGGGTTGGGGAGTCTCAAGAAGGAGGTGGACTTTGAAATGGGCCTGAGAAGATAGGTACAATTTGACTCCAGTGAGGGAGGCAAGAACATGTTGGGCCGGGGGAGGGTCATCAGCACCCTTAGGGCAATGCTCATACTTCACTGGGAGCCCCAGTTACTGCCACATCTGCCCCTGGCCAGGACCTGGCCCCAGTTAGACTGCAATTTCTTGCTTGATTCCACTCCCTTATCCCTAGATTTCAAGGTGCTTCCTCAGAGGACCCCCACCCCCTACTCCTGTAGTGGGCACCACAGAGCAGGTGTCAGTTGAGTCTAGCTCTGCTACAAGTCCTTTTGCCATCTCTTGACTGACACATCTTGAAAGTACAGATTTCCCCCCATTATCCGAAAGTTCGTTTTACACCGCTTGGCTTTTACAAAAGACCTATGTTAGTACCTGTTTTCGCTAACAGAAAGAAATCCGAAGAGGATTTTTGCTTTTACGAAAAAAGGCAAAAATACTGTTTAGCATTTGTTTTGCAGCAAGCCATTATAGAGGCTAAGCAGTCAAGCACACTGTTGTATTTCAAGCCTTCCACATCGACCACATCAGCCACAGCAGACGACGAACCTCGACCTTCGACGTTGAGGTGGCAGACAGAGAAGAAGGTATGTCCTGCCTGTCCTGATGGATTCAGATGACGAGAAGATGTTAATATATGCCCCTCTTCCTCTCTCCTACACCTCAGCCTCCTGTGCTTCCCTCCACCCCAACCTCCGACGACTCAGCCTCACACCCCCTCGTCACCACAACCACCTCTCAGCCTTCAGTGTGCTCCTGTCTTCCCGATTCTGGTAAGTGAGACTACACGGTACAGACCTTATTTCTACTTTACATAGGCTGTGGATTTATCATATCATTCCTGCTTTTACCATATGTTAGTGTTATTTTAGGTTTTATGCGTTATTTGGTATGATTTGGTAGGTTATTTTTGGGGTTCGGGAATGCTCAAAAATTTTTCCCATATAAATTAATGGTAATTGCTTCTTCATTTTACACCATTTCAGCTTAGGAAATGTTTCAAAGGAATGCTGTACTTTCAGATGTCAGGGGAAACCTGTATTTCCAGTGCCAGATTTTATGCATTAATCTTTTTCAGTGCAGTGAACAGCCCTGATGGCTGAAAATATGACTCTGCCTATGGGAAAAGGAATGTCAAAAAATGGCGTTTCACATCAGATATTTCATCCCTCTCATATCAGTGCAGGATGAAGCTCAACAATTTGCTCAAGGTTTTGCAGCTAGTTAGTGTAGTGGCAGAGTTGGTTCTAGCACGCAGGGTTGATTACCCCCAGAATCTAGTGTTGGTATTGGAACCTTTCCATGAAGATAGAGACTTCTGGCCCAGAACCTAAGAATCTAAAGAGAAAGCCTTATACTCTATTCTAACCATTTATTTGTGCACTTTCTATTCATTTTCAATTTTAATGGCTGGGTAGCTAGACGACCTAATAACCTTCAGTGGTGAGCCAGGGCACCCTCCAGGGAAATGCATTATTCTCTGTCCTTAGAGATACCCATTATATAAGGTACCAGGCGGCAGCTGGGGCCAGTTAGTTCCACTGGGAAAAGTGTGGGACCAAAGGGACCAAGGTCATTGGTTGATCCTGGTTCAAACCAGTTAATTTTGCACAGAGATAAATTGCTCCAAGGCCACAAATTGCACCTCTAATGCTAGCTGGTCATTTTATAAATAGTTGCTGTTGGTTTCAATAGCAAAGTGTGAATGGTTCTGTACCATCCAGTTCCAGAAAGATTACTCAAACCACCATTGTCCTAGTCCTACTCATTCAACAATTATCTGAACCTATTACCATTTTTCCTCCCATATATCTTGCATTTACTTATTTCCTAGGTACTTACTGAAAGCTAATTATTTTACATGTATTATCTCATTTAAGTCTTACAATACCGGGAGCAAGGTACTCTTATTTCCCCATCTTATGGATGAGCTGACCTAGGCATAGAGACCAAACCTAGATACAAACCTGTGCATCCTGATGTCAGAACCTGCCTCCTAACCACTGAGTTTGTGAGGAACACAGAAAGACATAGAACAAGACTTTCCCTTCCACGTTTTCAATAATTTAATCATTTAGAATCTCCATTCCATTTCACCTAGCAATTTCATGTCCAAGGATATGTCTGACAGAAAGTCAGTTGGAGATATATATATATGGAGTGCATGTGCATGTGTATATATGGAATGTATATGTGTATGGAATATATACACACAAACTCACTGCAGCATTGTTCATAATGGTGAAAATTGGAAAACACTCCGATGATAATCAACAGGGGATTGAACAGGTAAATATCGGTACATACATACAATGTTATACTCTGCAGCTGTTAAAAAAGAATTAAAGGGGCAGGCCTGGTGGCATAGCGGTTAAGTGCACGCACTCCACTTGGGCAGCCCAGGGTTCACAGGTTCGGATCCCGGGCGCACACAGACGTACCGCTTGTCAAGCCATGCTGTGGCAGCGTCCCATATAAAGTAGAGGAAGATGGGCATGGATGTTAGCCCAGGGCCAATCTTCCTCCCCAAAATAGGAGGATTGGCATCGGATGTTAGCTCAGGGCTGATCTTCCTCACACACAAAAAAAATAAATAATTAGATATATATCTACATGAAAATTACTAAATATTTTAATGGAAAAAGTTACAGAGCTGTCTGTATAATATAATCCCACCTATGTAAATAAAAATTATACATGTTTATTACATGAAAAAGTCTAGAAGCCTACATTCCAAACTGTTAACCACAGCTCTCCTAGGGCAGGAGAGAAGGGGTTATGATGGTGGATCTCACTTTCTAAGAGATGTATTTCTGTAATGTTTAATTTTTTGCAATAAGCATGCATACATTTGGTAATCAAAAAAGAACAATAATGATTTAAATTTTTAATAAAAATTAAAAAGCTC